ACCGACCAATTTGCTTTTAAGTAACTCCCAAAAGGGGGGTATAATCCATAGTGGCCGCTGTGAGTATTTTCTACAGTTTGGGTTATTTCTGAGTGATTCCGTTTCTCTGAGAAAGCGGATGATGAATGGGCTTCTTTTTGATTTAACAACTTTGTTTAGTCCGGTACCTTATTGGACTAGTTAAAGGTAGTTTGCGACCCATATACTGTAATATTCCAACAAAAATCCGAGATAAGCTGATTTACAAACATTTGAAGAAGTGGAACTCAAAAGTCGCAATTTTTGAAATTTTAATTCCCCTTATATATTGTGGAAGTTGAGATGCTCTTAAATTAAGAGTCCGCTTGTTTTGACTCACTTCAGTTTTCAGCTATCATATTCACAGCGACCGTTTTCAAAAAAAAAAAACTGAAAATGCTTTCTCGAAAAATCTTTTGTAACCCCCATTTTTAGAAAAAATAGATCTGAAATGTTGATACTGTACAATTGAAAAGGTCTACAGTATCCAGTTTCTCCGGCTCCGCCAGTCATGCACGGGTACGAGACGTGGACACCGAGATAGTCAAAAAGCAAGCGCTGGCTGTGATGGCAGGATGTTGGAACGAAGGGTGCTTGGCGCGCCCCCTTGCGACCCTATAAATAGTCAGACTTCCGTCAGATAAACCGTGTGTAGGACGTCACTGATAGCAAGCGATAAAATCCGTTTAGCTGTGCCGGACATGTGGAGGCAGGCCAGTAACACCACTAATGGGACACCCATACTGATAACATTGGCAGTCTGGATATTTCTGGCTTATCTAATAAAAGGAGATAAGGGATCAGTATGTGTAACTGAGATTTTTTGCTAAACAGACTGTTAACTTCGTAGCTCTAGGCAAGGGTCGAACAGAGTGTAGTAAATCTTTTTTTTTAAATTTTCCGATGATTTCTTCTAGTAAAGAAAAAACAGAGCCCTCAGTTTCTCTAACTCAGTTTATTTTTGTGGTATCATATATGATTTCTTCAAATTTTCAAATGTTTTCTTTGAAGGTAGGAACAAATTCTGTGACTATGTATTCAATTATGGCGGCTTCGACTACTGCTACCGTTTCAGCTACATCAGCTCAACGGTCAGTTCTCGCGGAATTAGTTCCCATCTGTTTTTGAGTATTTTACGGGCAGATATTTCAACCGGCATGACAGTGCTTAGAAATTTCTAATGAGACAACAAATCAATTTGAACTGGATTGGCTTTA